CAGAGGAGAGACAGAAAGCTGTTAGCAAATCTTTGTTTGTTTAAGATGTGTTTATTTCTAGTAGCCAAATATTAACAAAAACATCCTATTACATGCTTCCTCTGGCAGATTTCACAATGCAAGTAGGTGACCTTAAAACATTTGTGAATGTGTGTTAACAGTTTGCTTCCAAATAGGAAGTCTACAGATCAATAAAGGCTGACCCTGGAAAGGACCAGCTCTGTGCACAGCCACAGCACTCCAGCATGGTCACTTTGTACTCCCCAAGGCTCTGTCAACCCAGTTTCATCATGCTCAGAGAAGGAAATTTGCATTCCTTCACACACATAATTCAACTCTTGCCTTTCATAAAAACTCCCCTGAATTTCAGGAGGATGTCAAACTGAGACCAGTTTTCTGTCACTCCTAAAGCAGCCACTATTACTGTACCTAAAGGCATGCTGCACCCTCTGAACAGAAATCAGAGATGGTCAAAGGTGCCAGGATAGCTGTGTGGAGAAAGGAACAGCTCTGTGATAGGTATGAAGATTGTCTTCTTTGAAAAAAAAAAATAATTTGAGAAACAAGGAATAAAACAAACCCTTTAGTGGATACATAAAACACTCAACTGCAAAACATCCAGAAAATAAATGGAAGATCAGGATAGTGTACACATGTTAAGAATAACTTCCACAAGCCAGTCCTAGAGTCGCAGAGCCTGTAAGTGCCTTTGTGCTAGCCCTCCAACAAGTTTTGTTCTGCTGGAAAAGACAACTGAGCAAGAATATGACTGAGGTCTCAAATCAAGAGTAACACCATGAAGGACTAGAAACGTGTTCTTTCACACAATGCAAGACCTAGGTCCAAGAAAATTATCTCACAATAGGTTTAAAAGAAACAAAGGGACCTTCTTCATACAATGTATGAAGAAACAGAGTATAATTGATGCATAATTAAATAGCAAAAGTCATTGCCGCAGGATGCTGTAGAAACTGAAAGCATGAGCAGATTCAGAAAAGTGTGTACAAGTTTCTAGTGGCCATGGTAAAAACAGTGGGTGCTAGATACAGTGGTCCAGGAACAGCTCTCAGGTCTTGAGGAGACAATTGCTGGGAATCAGAGAAAGCTGACTCAAACCATGCCTCCCTCTTACACCTGCAAGCATCGGCTACTGGCCTCTGGCATAAAGATAATCTGGGTTACATATTTGGTCTGGCCATTTTGATAGCCTCATCATCTTTCTAACATTCTTCTTGCACAAGTTCATTGTAAAAAAAAATCTATCTTCACCCCTCTTCTTCCACCTCCTCCCTCCTTTAAACTGCTCTCCCTTCAGTAATATGCTCCCAGCCCAATGGTGCTGACAACTCCTACTTCCTGCAGGATTTCTCATTCCCAGGCTCTGGACACCCTGTGATTGCAGGCACTGTGTCCTCAGCCTAACACAAGTACTGGTTCCAGTCCCAGGGGTGATGATTCACCATGGGACCAGCCATGCTGCTAACTCCAGTGGGACCTGGAAAACAAACCACAGAGGCTCCTGAAAGAGCAGAGGGAGCACAAATGAGAGCTGATCCTTGTGTTAGAATAAGCAGTAATGGTTTTACCCAGGCTATCTGAGGATACTCTTGGGGCAGCAGCTTGGTTGTAGCTTGCTAGCTGCAGCAGCTTTCCTTTTTGCATAAATCTTGACCCATGGCCTCCTGCTTTCTGCACACATTACTCCACTGGTGCCCCTCTCTCCTGACATGAAGCACTCTCTGTTATTTCCACCCTGAGCATGCAGCTCCAGTGATGTAGCTCAGGTTCTGCACCTCAGTCCTAACCCACAGGGCCTCTGCAGATCAACATGACAGGTATCTAAGGAGAACTGGCAGATGGGATGGTGGGTCTCTATTGAGATGGTTTAGGGGGATATCTGAAATGTTGCAGCATTCAAAGAAAGCCTCCTCTGCCTTCTGCTCCCCTCCCACAAGGCTGAGCTAATCGAAGTGAAGAACATGATAAACTCTCTGCCCCGAGTCAGCTCTACACTGACAGTTCACTAGAGATACAAGATCGCTCAGTGACATTAAAAATGTCAGCAAACACCGATCAGGCCTGATGGAAGGGATGCATTAGCAGGCTGGGGAGGGCACAGGGCAAGGTAAAACTTCAGCAAACATGGTCAAGTGCACAGGCAGCTTTTCCCTTCCCCCCCATCTCCTCCACAGAAGATTTTTTTACAGATCTCAAGACACTGTGGCCACCATTGCAGCAGTCACATGTGGAGCACACCACCACCTGAACGGCCAGACCAATCCAACAAGGTTTGCTTGAGGCAAAGCAAGTGTGACAGCTACTGGAGGCAATTCCTGTCTCCAGCTTGCCCGAGAGGCAGGTGTAGGAAACCGTGAAAGCTGCCTGCAGGCACAAAGTTCTCACCTCAACTACTCCTGCAGCACAGCAGTGAAAAGGGAAGTTTATTCGCAAATGAACTCTAAGAAAGACTCTCTCACCACTGCAGGAAGAAGACCTGCTGAGCTCTGGAGCATCCTAAGCTCTGACAGAGGGAGTCCAGACAAGGGACTGTTTTTTTAAACGATACAAAGCAGAGACAAAGAGGACTTGAAGCTCTGTGTGCATCGGCAGAGGAATCTGGAACGTATTTTGTTGCTACCGCAATACACATTGGTACACAAACTTGTCTGTGTGTAATCCTACTTCAGCATTGTCTGGTAGCTGCAGGAGGTGCTCCCTAATTCAGAAAGGATCTCTTGTTATCACTGTTCATAAGTAAAGACTCAAAGAAGATACAGCAGGTGCAGGTGGGGCCATCCTTCAGGAAACTGCTCTCTGTCATATGTGCCTTGTTTTCTTGAGATCTGAAACATTCAAGTCTCTGCATTATCCATGACCGAGAAAGCATCAGTTTCACACTGCAAGCCCCACCCACCCTCCAACACCTTCACTTACTTCATGCATCAGGTCAGAGGCAGACAGCCTAGGAGGTATTTCTAAGTCAGGAATGTGCCAGAGGGAGGGGAAAAAGGGCCACCTGAGCTATGCAGGGAAGAATGGGGGTCTAGTTACCTGTCCACTCTTATCTGTCTCACACTGGGAGCTCATTCAATAGAGACTGAGTCTCCACTGGGTCCATCTGCTTGGACAGAATCAGTTATCTAGGCTGGAAATTCTCTCTTATGAAAACACACAGGCAGTTGCCCCAAAAGCATCTGAGAGCAGAGCGTGGCACAGAGAGTGTCAGGTATTAAAGTGTCAGAAAAACTTGATTGTTTTTAAGGGACTAAAGGGGTCGGAAGAAGATCAACATTTCTCTCTCACATTCCCTTTCCTGCACAATCTGAAGGAGGCTGAACCTTTACTTTCCAAGTAACACAATTGCAGAGGAGGACAACCCAACCCACGTGCCCCCATCCTACATGCTCAGCATGTGATCCTTTCAGTGAGCTACCTATGGGAACATTTCACTCTAACAACTTCCCTCCTGCTCCTGCCTTTAGCTCTGTCCTTGGGACTTCATGGATGCTTACCAGCCCTCAGCTTACTATCAGAGTATTTGCTGACATGAAATACATGAATGCTCACCTCAAAGAAGACACACTTCCCTGGACATCTACATAATGATGAATCCTAGCTCCTAACACAATAAATCCAGGAGCCTTGAACTATGGGAAAGTGCCATAAGTCATTCATCCTGAGGCCCAGAGGAGGAGCATGACTGGATCAACCTACTTCTTAGCAAGCATCACAGTACACAGGGATGATTTTTTTTTTTTTTTTAGTATTATTATTCTGTAGCCATCAACCTGCTGGTTATATAGCTGCTATCCATTCACCGGAAGTTTAGTGAACTTCAAATGGCGATCATTAATGGTCACTGAACTGCAGAATGCCCCAATGTGCTTTCAGATTTCATTTACCAAGGACCAGCAATCAGCCAAAAGATTTGCTCTGACAGCAGGGAAATACAAGACCCTTTGACAAGTTCAGCCAGGAATGTGCTGCCAGCATCCCTTGTTAAGTTCATGTTCTACCCTATTTGACGGAACAGATCATGCAAATTGTCCTTCTGCAGCCGCTCAGCCTGTCACTCACACTTCCATTTAAAACAATAAATAAATAAAAGAACAAAAGAAAAGCCTGCAAGAACAACGAGCTGTTTATAAGAAAATTCCACTTACTGAGACCCTTAATTACCAGGAAAAGGCATAGAAACCCAAATAAAGCACTAAATTGGATGGAGGAAGGGAATCTTACTCATCTAAAGGTTTAACCAGGAGGGCCACCCCAATTTCTCTTGTACACAAACTGCAGCCTCCTCCCTCACCCTGCTCCTGCTTGTAATCACACTTGTTCTTTTCTTCCCACTTTGGTTTGTGCCTTATGGCATTACCACGTTTTTCTGTGCAGATGAAGCAGCTGTGCCAGGAGTCCTTGTGGATGCACAGCATGCTACTTCTTAACCACCCAGTAAAGGCATGGAGCAAAAGACAAGGCACTAGATAGTACTCAGTCCAAGGCAATTTGCTTAGCAAAGCGATCACTGATCTCTTAGGTGAATGTGCTGCTGAGACAGCCCCCTTTCCTCATGCCACAAAGAGAAATGCTGATTTTTATATTGGAATATTTCCACATTTATTAACCGGAATTTCATCTGGTGGGAACCATGCTCCTAGGAGCCTCATACGGCTGCAAAACAAAACAAAGTCAGCAGTACTAGTGACAACACAGCCTTCACTGAAAAGGAGTCCCAGTATTATGCAGAGACATTGCACTGTGCCTGCCACAATGGGATTCTCCCCAGCTGCAGAACACATCCCATCAAGTACAGTAAGACTCTATTAGACAAGATACAATAGGGAGCTGGAGGACTCAGCTCAGCCCAGCTTCTGAGAAAATAACTCATTTCAATGCAAAACAGCAGTAGTTATTAGACACCTCCTTAAAGAGGAAAAGTGAAGGACAAGGGGAGGAGGGAGGCAGGGAAACAGGGGCCACGGCAGCTTGCACAGAAGTACCTTTTTCAGATTAATCCACTGTTTGAAGTAATCAGCAACCGGCAGCCCTAAGTACTGGCATTGTCCTGGTAACCTGCAAGAGAGAAGAGAGAGCAAGTTTGATTCAATCAGTGTCTTGACAACACAAACTCTGTTTTCTTAAGTGCATTTCGTTCGGAGATGGAAAAGACTCTCAAGTCTGCTGTAACATCATGCTGCACATCAGAAACACCATCACTCTTGGCAAAAAAATCTCATGAGAGTATAGCTTGGCTTAAGACTTACATACATCCAGACACATCCAGGCTGCTGAAACCTTTAAGACTAAACATTTTGAACAGTTGTGTGTACAAGTGCAGCACTCAGCTCTTCTCCACACTGGCTAACACACAAACACAACTGGAGTATCCAGGCTGTCCTTGGGCTAAGCAAACCCCTCACAAATCCCTGCAAAACCATCCTGCTCTGCCAGCAGCTTACAGGGCAGACAGAAGGACTGACAATTCACCTGTCATGCCCTGGTGCTTCTCTATTTGGCCTTTACAGTTAAAACATCAAAAGAGATATGAAGGAGGGAAGACGGCACCACAGCATTCATTTTTTGGATAGCAAAGCTGTAGGGCTAAGAAAGCAGGAGCTATTTTCCAAGCAGGTGCTTGGAAGGAGAGCAGACACAAGTCTGAAGATACAAGATGAATCCCTGTTTCACCACTGTCTCACTAGGGATGTGAGCACAGCAGCCAGACCTGTGAGCACACATATTGATCCTCTCCCTTCCTACAGCAAACCGATGGAATAAGGCTCAAAACAAAACAGCACCAGAAAGGGAGGCAGATTGCCTGAAGGGACAGCAGCACCTCAGGAAAGCTGCTTCTCCCACACTGTACTAATCCCAGTGTGTTTTCAGGGAAGAGAGGATGTGCCCCTCAGCTGGGGAACGCTGAATTGCAAACCATGTGGCTCCAGCCAAGCCTGTGCAGGGACATGAGTTATGTGAGTATTTCCTGGCCACTTTGATCTGATCAAGAGTAATTGATGGATCTTGTTCATTCACATACTGCTGAGCATGCCTGGGGCACTGGTCACAGGATCTTTAAGTGAAGCAAAGGAACATCCCAAATAAATATGTCAACTAAATAAATGACTAAATTACCGCCATTTGTGCATGTTAAAAGTCACAACCCCAGAAATCAGCTTTTGCAAACAGAGAGGGTGGGGAATCTCCCAACTTCCTCAGGCACATGGAAGTTGTAGGAGGAGACTGTAGGGGAGGAGGAAGAGCTATAAGTGCCAGCTTCAGCTGCTCAAACATTGGAACACAGACCAAGATGTCCAGGTCAAAGTCTTCTCCTGCTCTGCAAGGATGAAAGAGTGAATAGTCCAGACTAGTCTTCAGACTCAAGCTCTGGTGAGAAGTGGACACAAGGGAAACACCCCAAGGTGCACCATCAGTATCCCAAGCAGTACCTGAGTGGTCAGCCCAGCTCCAAAGTCTTTGGTGAACAGGGAAGCATCTCTCCAGACATTTCCCCAAGTAAAGAGATGAAGGAGCAATACAGATAATGCACTTGCAGATAATGTGAGACCCAGGTTAGTGCAGTACCAGAGCAGTCTGGTCTTGGTGACTCGTTCATTTCCATGTGAAGAAAAGGAAGGAAGCTGGGAAACATATCCAGAGGAATCACCTGGGATATATATGGCCAACAGAGCCAGCATGCCCTGGGACCCACCTGTGCACTACCTTTGCCCTGCTTAGGCTAGGAAAGTAATAGACTTCCTATGCCAAAGTCAAATGCCTGGTCCTGAGAACTTGTACATGTGATGATTTAGGATCAATCATTTAAGTCATACAAACAGATTTGAATAAGAATGTCCAAAGGACAAAGGAAGGCTTCAAAAGACCGAGCTTGCAAAGAGCAGGGCCACAGCGCTTTGCAGGGCAAGTAGTGCAAGTTAACAGCACAGTCCCATGCTTGGGCACAGCTTATTTGATGCCATCGTGCTGAAATAAAGCATCTGGAATCACTCCTCACAATTGCACACTGCCACACAAACAGCAGCCTGGCCCATGCATTTTACAGCCATTACACAGATGTTCATGACATCCCTTAGTTGAACAGACCTGACCAGCCCCAAGCAGCATGCTGAGAAAGCTCTTTCTCCAGAAAAGCTGCTTTTTGCTGGTGCCCAAATCAAGAAAGATCACAAGAAAAAGAATCATCTAAAAGAAACAACTGGTCTAAATAAAGGCGCTTGATTAGCTCAACCTCTTTCAGTCTGCTCACATTTAGCTAGTGAGGATGATGACAGAAGTTAACAAAAAGTATGTTACAAAAACTTAGTTTCGCTTCCAAACCCAAGAGGCTTTCTCATTAATACAGGTCTCAGCCTAGCTCCAGTTAGAAGAAAAATTATCAATTTACCTAACATTTGGATAGAGCCCAGAAGAAGTGAGAGCAGCATTGCTCTTGTTAGCCACAGGAATTGACAGCAAACCACCCAGTGCAACGAATGACATCTAAAGCACTGCCATCCCTGTGGGACCAAAAGGCCCAGCAAACTGGACAGTCTGGTTCTATTTTCACCCTGAGACTGATGGCAGTGTGCCCTGGGCACTGGACAGTGGGCCTTTAATTGGAGAAAATAAATGCTCCAAATAAATATGTCAACTAAATAAATGACGCATTTTTGCAAACAAGTAACAACCCCAGAAACTGCCTGTGAAGCTGTTGACCTCAGGACATTCCCCCTCCCCCTCCAAGCTTCTGCTCCCCTCATTTCTTGTCAGCAGCAGAGGGGCTTCAAGTTTTTTCAAGCACCAGGAGATCAACACTCACGTTATAACCTGGGCAGGCAGACTGTCAGCAGCACAGACCAAAACATAAGTCTATCCCTGAGGTGGAAGATGCAGTCCTGGTGGCTCCAGGCCACTGAGATCACAGTCACTGAGCAAGGATTAGCGAGGGATCGCTACATGGGTGTGGTCTAGTCTGAATATGCAGCAGTCCTGGCACAGGGAACTAGGAGCTTTCGCCACACAGAACCCAGGTTTCCTAGTACCTACTGGGAGGAAAATACCTTTGCAAAATATTTTCCCCAGCTCCAAGACTGTCACCTGCAGGGGTCTCCCCCACTCTTCAGCCTGGTGACCAGGCAGGAGTTTCTCTATCATCTTTTCCAGGCTGGACTGAATAAGGCATATCTGTGGTTGTCCTGTGGAACTAAAGTACCATGGCCTGTAAGGAAGTATGTCTATTTATGAGAGCCACCATTCACTTGAGCATTCACTTATATGAGAAATAAGCTTTTATGCTCAGTATGGCTTCTTGCTCTTGCCAGAGCCAACTTGCTCACTGAGGGCAGCTTTGCTTTAGCAGAGAGCTCAGGATTTGGCCCTCCCTCAGGTAAGGGAGAAGAAAAACGATGGCACATTTTGCTGCATTCAACATCCCACGATCATTCCAGTTTTTGAATGAGGTCTAATTGGCTTCACAAACACTGAAGATCTCACTCCTTAGGAAGGAAGCTGGCTTTCAAAAACCACCCCATCAGCCAAACTGCATTCAATATAGAGAAACTTGAAAATAGCTGTGGGATTTTCCAGCCTCCAATGCAGCTCTGGTGCTCTGTCCTCCCAGAAGCAGAGATGGGAGCATGTAATTTCTGCCTGCTCCCAAAAGGCAGATCCCCTTTGGGCAGAAGAGCAAGTGACATCAGGTAGCACACTTGCCTCTACCAGCTAAGCAAGTCTAAGTCCTTCTTAGACCATGGTCAGCAGTAGCAACTCTGCACCATTTCCAGAGAGCTTTCACCACCCCAGGCTCAAATTTCCATCCAGCCCTGCTTCACCACCCTGCAGAGTAAATGGGGCCTGGAGATGAACGGGATGCAAATAGGAGGCGAGGTGACATGGCTGCATTTCTCCTGTTGAAGCCAGCTCTCTCCAAGGCAGCAAGAAGCGCACAGCTTGGCGGTGATAAACGGCCTTGCTTTAGTTATCACTTTCCTTAAGTTAGGGAGAGCAGCCTAGTGATGGATGGGCTGGAATTCGGTTATCAGGGAAGGCTGTCAGCCAGAGTTGCCTATCTCCACACACATTTAGCAGGGCGTCATTATGCGATGGCATGGAGTTAAAATATGACCAAGGGAACCGAAAGAAAAAGAAGAGGATTAAAAAAAAAAAAAAAGGCAAATTGAGCAACAATAAAGGAGCATGAGGCAAGAACGTTATCATACTAGTGACACCTTTTATCTCAGTCTGGTTAGCTAAAGCAGGGCACAAATTGGTCCTTCCTCTACTATTGTATCCTCTTGTACAAACAGAGGCAGATAAAATGTGTCACCAGTGCGATAGCATATCAATTTAACCCTAATTATCTAGAGGGTCAAACGAAGAAATAGGGGTTTCTCATTTCAACAGGTCCCTCCATCTCTGCTCGGAGCCAACACATTAATATGGAAGGGGGAGGGGCAGCCATAATTGATTTCCGTCACTCAGGTGGTTCTGGCGTATAAAAAATTAATGCTTGATTCTCCCAACTAATCAGAGCTGGTTAACGTCCATCTGCTTCTGGGTTCAGGAAGTCAGGAGACAAAGAAATTGGGCCACTTGCTATACACAGGGTGTGCATTGATATCGAGGCAGTTAAAAAACAAGTTCCTCTGTGGGAAGATAAAGGGACATTAAATCTTGGGGTTTATAGACCTGATCTTAACTGTCCAAAAAAATCCATTCCTTGGAGACCTTGCATTGTAAGAGATGCAGAACATTTTAATTGTGTCCTGGTCAACACCTGTGCATTGGGATGCAAAGGAGAGCACTGGCAGGCTCCTGCCCTAGAAATGCTTCACTGAAGAAGGAAGCTGCTTGGATGCTGAAGCATACAACAGCATCATGGTGAAAGAGAAGAGCTGTCAAACCACCTCAGCTGGGCCTCTTCATTCAAAGCAAGGCTGGTCAACATTCTGGACCACACAGCTCAGAGGTGCTGCTCTGTTTTGATGTGGAGTGGCATGTCTGCCCAGCCAAGAGGAGAGCTTAGGTGTCCTCTCCCAAGAGTGCAAGCTATCAAGGGAATAACATCCTATGCTAAG